ACCTTACTCCTTCATGAGCTGCTGGATCTCCAGCGTCTTTGCTTGATTCATCTTCACTCGCTGCTTTTGCTTTTCAGTTGGACAACGAAGAAATCCCTCCAGCTGAATAATCAGACTCTCCACCTGCTTCACCTACTATAGGTACCAAAAAGTCCATAGGGGCAGAGAATGTCTCTATTCCCGCCTTCTCATGCCTCTTCAATCGAATCTAGAATAAATAAGGTCACGTCAGGAGTCTAGTGGACCGCTTTTGAAGAAAGGTAAGCTCTCTGCATTACCAATATGAAGTGAATAACACAACTTAACACGAAAGCAGGTCAACACTGCGGGTGTCGAACCTTTCTTTCCACTTATTAGATTATTAGTAAAGCGCTAGCGAAGTTGAGGCACTTTCAACCAACCCTGAAGCAGCTTGTGCCAGATCGCGTTCTCCTCACCATGTAAATCAAAAGGCTAGGAAAGATCAACTGAAACTTTCAACAACGGAGCCTCTTGTAACTTGAACTACTTTCCCTGATCCACTAATGGCCACTCCTCTTTCATCATCCACAGACGGTTAAGCAGGGTGAGGCTCTTACCCACGACCTACGTACGTTTCGAATTTCTTGTTGTCAGAACTGATTTCAAAAGAAAATATAGAATAGATATGATCGTACTGATATCACTTCTTCACTTTCTTTGGAATAATGCCCGCCCTGACCGAGATCTCTCAATTCATTGAAAAAGGGGCCTGACTCGGCCTCTCTCTCATAAAGAACTGAAAAAGACAGAGCTGGCGTGGAGGAATTGACTTATGTTAGGATCCCAAGCAGAGCTTTTCGATCGAGGTTTATTTCGTCCTGAACTTCATTTAAGAGTACTTACTATATTCAAGGGAATGTGGTGACCCTTTTACCTAAAGAATTTATGCCACCAAAAACTCAACAATTTGTCATGGATTGCAACAAGCTAGCTAAATGGATAAACAATGGGAAGTTCTCACTTGATGAGTGAAAGTACGACGCTTCAGCCATACCTCCTGCTGCCACTTTAGGGAAACCCCTTATGATGCTAAGGCTGGATCAACTCTAAGAAAGAAAGGATGTATGTAAGGGGGGGCAACCAGACCGTACTCGTGAAGGCCCTTCGGCCTATCTATTTATTCTCTTTTGTATTTCATGTGCGGAACCACAGCCATTTACTGATGGCGGCAGCTACTTCGTTCATGGCTTTCATTCGGTCTGCAGCTCTCTTTCAAGGCTTACCATCCCCAAGATCTAAAATAGAAACTGTAACATTGGCTCTTGGACTTGCTGCTGTTGATAGACCATCACCCGCCCAAAAATGGAAAAGTACCCCACAAGGCCGGGCCCACTGTGATACAAAAGTAGAAACTTTTGAAGAAAGGAGGGAAGCTCCGCCCGAGATCTCTCAGAAAAGTAGGAATTTGACTATAAATAAATGGAAGAGCTCTGTAGCTAGCTCTATTGGGCAACGGTTTCTCAATCCCACTCCAACCTTGCCAGCAAAGCAAAAGACCTTCGAGCTAGGACGAAGAGTTTATGACTAGGCGATGGCAGTCTTTTATTAGCCTTCAATTCCTGTAAAGAGCCTACTACGGACAGTTGGCAGGCAAGCAAGTATAGACAGGTTAAGCCTACTGCTAGTAGGAATGCTCATATAAGGGGTCCGTACCGCCCAATAAGACCAAGAATAATGGCAATAGGTCGTGAAGGTGAAGTCCTTCCATACCCTCTCGCCATAACTAGCATTCTGCTTTAGCCTTATGGACATCTGGGATGTTGCTGGGCTTGAACATGATTAGATAAAGGATAGCTGGCCGTCGGTTCTCTACTTTTTATTTATAGTAAAGGGATTCGTTTCCGTGACTTAGGATTCAGCAGGTGACTCTTGTTGTAAAAAATGTTGATGGGGCCGGGTTCTATCTAACCTCGCCAGGGAGACCTCTTCTTCTAATAAAGACTGGACCTTACAATACAATATTATTACCTTGAGAATGACCGAACAGAGGCCCCTAACGGCCGCGCCTGTAAGGAGAATCCCCAATATATATAGAACTGCCAAGACTGCAGACATTTGATGTTATGACAGCTTTTCCTGCCTTTCCAATATGCTTTCTTTCTGTCTTGCCAAGAACCCCTTCGTATATGACTCCGGAAAGTGACAGAGGCGTCTCTTCCTCCAGTGCTTCTCGAAAGTTTGCCACATCTCCTCTGTTAATAGAGATTCTAAGGGCTTTTGCGGGGAACTAAAGAAGAACCCGCGGGGGATCCTGGAGCAGATGCACAAATGGTCATTTCCACCGCTCTAACTGGAATATAAATATCAGCATCGGTCAATCGCTTCTAAGAACGGTTCCATAAGGGTCAACGTAATAATTGCCAAACCTCTATTCGTGCTTGACTTGATTTCTCTACAGAATTCAAATAGTTATGGCATGGAATTGATTAATTGGGTGGCTGGGAGAGTCGCCCCATATTGCCAAAGGTTCGGGGCCGCTACTGGGGTTGGCCCGGGGTTGCCTTCTTTGTAGCTAATGCCAGCCAATGTGATTTACATGGGACATGTGATCCGAAAGGCAAAACGCATAATCAAAGAAGAAGTGGGCGTATTTATTATAGACTGCGGTGTAACGAAACCAGTGAGACCTGCTAGGAGACATATGCTTAATACACGAAAGCTCCCCCAGTTGTAAAACCACTAGCATCTTACTTTCTTCTATTACTGAAATAATGAAAATAAGGAAAGACCTTAGCTCGAGATGGTTCTAAGCGTTTTCTCGCTGGGGCCACTTCCAAAGAAAGTGAGAGGCAAGTGCTCTCAAAGGGCAAGCAATTGAGACGGGGCTGGTACCATCAAAGTGATATTGGCCTACTCCGCATATAACTTGACTCTTTGGTTGAGAAGAGAAGGTGAGGTCAACGAAAAAAGAGCCCTAAATTAGGGCATGTTATTGAATTGAGCCCCCATTTGAGTCACTTTTAGTTTCCCCCTGCTCTGGAACACGAGCAGCCAACAATCCTCCATATCCCACCCACATCCTCAAGTTTAAGACCTCGCTCCCTAAATAGGCTTTTGTCACCTCTCAGCTATCCTCCAAGTAGGTTTGATCCCTCGGTCAGCCCAATTCTCCTAGTTCTTGTAAAAATGCCCTCTCTCCTTCTTCCCAGCAGAGGATGACTCTTCAAAGAAGTTTCAGATATGTTCTTCGCAATGGACTTATTGGTGATTTTGGTTTGGACTCAGCAATCATTTTCAAAAATCATTTGTTGATCCACTAGTGGCCATTGATTAAAGGAAAGGGTCGAGGTGAGACCCTTTAGACTATGCCGCCTTGACCCCGAGCATGCAGGCAAATAGAAAGCGTGGGTCTCCTATGTCAATTAAGGGGTGGTGGTCAAGTCTGAACCTCATAGAAGCAATAGAAGGAAGGAAGGTAGAAGTCAACGTGGATAAAACAAAGGAGCTAAAGAATACGAACCAGCTCCATCCGCGAACCGGTCTCTATTGGCCAGGAAATCTCATCGGCAAGAATTGCGTATGTAACAAAGTGGATTGATTCCGCAACACGCTCTCAGGAACCTTCAGGTGCTCATCTCGAACAAGAACCCTCCCCTTCATTCAGTCCAGTTTCAGAATGGAATTCAAGATCCTTTCAACAATCCTAATCTTCACAAAGTCAAACCAACAAGTAGATATAGGTCTTCTTCTTTTCCTCATGACTCGCTTCCTCGATCAACCCCGTTTCCAATGTATTGCTCATAAGCTGTTATGTTCGAATGGATCTCCGCTTCTCTTCTGTCCCACTCCTTCTCTCCTAGGGAACGAACTACGGAAGTCACAACTTCAACAGAGAACTAGTTTCCCCAATTAGCCGGATAGGCTTATCTCAGGCTATAAACACCCCTTCTCTATTCCCTAAGCTGCTTCCCTGCATAACTTAATGTGTCAAGCAGAGTCAGACGTGATATCCATCCTCGTGTTAGGTATTGAAATCCTTTGATCTTCCCTAACCACCTTTCTCCAGCGAGGTGGAAGGTGGGT